CCCACAAAAAAAAAAGAAATATGCTGAAAAAAGAACCAGTTTCCTGCACTATCCCCCTAGTTTGCTTTATACTTCCCTTGATCGCAAAATGCCGTCAAATACCCCGCAATAATTGCGAACATTTTACACGAAGCAATGGGCGCATCTATACCAAGTGCCGTCCGCTGCACTTAGTATCGATGCACTCAATGACAGGATTACGGTATTAACTTGACGCGCTATTCCGCGTAAAAACGCTGTGACTATAAATGCGCCCATACTGAATGATTGTTCCCGTATTCATTGCTTCACTAATCGTCCTTTGCAAAAGTGTTCACGTTTGTTACTCGTTCTCCCTCGTGTACCTACCATTTATAGCTTATCTATCCTAATTTTCTTGAACTTTCTAAAGGTGATCCTATCTCGAGACGACTCACTTTGATACATACGTGTTTTCGACCGCGATAAGAGAGCAAAAAACGTTCATTCGTCAACAGCGATAAAGCAACAAACGACTGCATCCCACTATTTCTCTTCTCCCTTCTTGCAATCTTCTTGCAATCACATCCTGCTATTATAGTGTTCAACTCATTTTCGTGGAGCTTTTTCAGTAATCGAAAGCATATTTTCTTTTAATTTTGAGTTTTTTGTCTATAAGACAGTTTTCGTACTGTCCCAGTGGCTCATCAGCCACCTTCCTGAAGAGTCGGCTTTGGTACGTGTATCAATGTGCATGAAAGAAAAAAGTTCCTCACCCAGAGACGCATTTCATGAACGCAATAATTTCAAAACTCATTTTATTGAGAAAAATTACTAGACCTAGACGACTTCATATATGCCCATGTGTTGGCGAATGCAACCTTGAAAGGTGCACTGAAGGCTCAAAATCTCCCAATCTCGGTGTCCTCAACTTTTGAAGGGGCTCAGAAAATACAACCCCTGGCTGGTTTCAAGGCCTGCTGATCTTGTGATGAGGTAAATCATGTTTTGAGAAGGGACCCTAGCTCGAACTCCGATTACGGCACCACACCATTCTTAATTCACCCATCCAACCACCCCAGGACTTACTCATGTTCCTTTTCAGAAGGTGAACAGAACAGCCACAGATTGTAATCTCTTAATCACCATGTGTGATTACTGTATCACAAAATCTTGAGAAGTTTGACACAGACAAACTTTGAATGTTCGAGGTTCAATAAAATTATTAGTAATTATAGTGCTAGATTTTTCATGGTGCGTCTTCTCTCTATACAGCAGTTTCATGTGATAGCACCCCATACATTGACTCCACAGTGACTAAAGTCTTTTCCCGGAACGTATTTTGCAGAACCAACGTGGTCATAAACTGTGGTTGCATGGTGTGATAAAGAGGACACAATGGCCTAGGCGAAGGACAGAATCCAGGGACGGTTGGCTGCTTGTCAAGCCCCTTAAACGGGAAGGAAGACATTCTCTTGCCATCATCCAAGATTCACGTCAAAGGCGATGTAGGTGCCACCGGTCTTTCAACTAACGCTCATCTTGAGCTGTACGTGCAAAAGGGACAACTCCAACAGGGGGATAAGCTGAGTTTGAACGAGCAAAATAATTGTTAGTAAAAAAGTCACAACAAACCTTATCGACCGCCTGTTTTCAACCATGTGACGACATTTATGTAGCATTTACGGCCCATCTTGAGGTGTAGATAAAAACATCTCTAAAAACTTAACAGGTAACAAAAAATTAATGTGGAAGCTAGGGGATGTCAAAAGATAAGGGGATACTACTCCGCCGCAAGGAAACCCTACATGACTTCCACCATCTGGTGGGTTAGAGGAAACGGACAACAGAGGTTTTCATGAAAATTGGAAAAGAATTTTCAAAAACTACTCTGCTCTAGTTCACTCGGGAGCTTAAGATTACCTCGACTGAGAAAAATATAATATGAAAATAGAAAAAACCAAGGAATCAATAAGTGCCACCCGCTCCTTATCAGAGGAGGTCTGGGCAATATCGAAGTTTTGGTAGATCATGATGACAGTAGTAATTCGTCATGACCTATCACCACTTGAAATAACGAAAACTCCAAAAAATTTCCTTATTTCTTTGAGATACATCTTTCATGGGGTTTCGGTAGCAATCATAGATCTTTAACGTCTTCAAAGTTCGTTTACTCTGATATAGAAAGCTGATCCAACATGTGTGCTTGCAAAATGGCGCCTGAAGCCATCACACTACGTCCAAACCATAAATTATGTTCACATACACATAAATTCACATAAATTACAGGTAAAGATGATTTCGAAACTATCTGAGGAAGAGTTGATTCATTCCCTTCACCAATCATTGACTGACTACGGTTGTGAGGCTATCAACCGCGTCGCAACAGTGACGCAGCTCTTCAAGCTAATGCGGCCAACATCAAGTCGGCAGGGTTTCTGGTGGAAGAAGCGAAGAAAGCCAAGAAAGAAGTTGCTTCTTAATTGTTATCATCGTTTTCCCATTTGGGACTATTCAATTTGAAATATCCGATTCCCATCATACAGTTTCCCTACGTGGTACATCTCCTTGAGACGACTTCCCTTCCGACTTGCTATCTGTAGGGTGAATCATCAGAGAGTAAATTCGAGCTATATGTTGTTCTAGTTTTTGCTTTGTAAACACTATTCTTTACAATGTTTAGCTCACCCTTTATGCGATTTGTATTAGAGCAATGATGGGCCACGGAGCAGAATTTTTGCTTGTCTCCTCTACGTGTCGCTTCCTGTTCTTGCTTTTTGTTATTTTCTGGTCGTTTCTTACAATTTTTTCCGACGCGTTCAGTCGACTTTCATTTGCTTTTTTTTCTTTCCTATCCAATTCCTGGTCTACAGATGAACCCCGTCGAAGAAGCGCTCTGTAAAGAGCGAAACAAGAGAGTTTTATCTATTCAGAGTCATGTCGTGCATGGCTATGCCGGAAACAAAGCCTCTGTTTTCCCACTTCAGGTAAGAGTCTGGTTCCGGTTGTTTTCCTCACTAATCCTTCGTTATAAGTGACCATTATTGAGATGAAGTCTCTTTCTGCGAGCCATACAGTTTTTGTGCCATTTTTTTACTTTAGCACTATTTTGTGAAGGGATAATGTCGTAAAAGAGGCTATAATCTAGAACTAGAACTCTCTTCAGTAAGCTAGTGCTATGACCATTTCCCNCCCGTTTATCAAGTTATCATTTTAGTTAAATGGTTTCGAGGTGGATCCAATCAACAGTGTACAATTCAGCAACCATGCCGGTAACGTCGAGTTCTTGAGTCTGCCTAAAAGTGATTTAGTTAGCTTGCTGTGTTTTAACGCTTGCTGTTTAGCTTCTTTTGTAGTGAATCAATCCAGGTGTATCAAAGTCGTATTCAGGATATGAGTACGTGAAAGGACAACGACTAACAGCTGTTGAATTGAATGACTTGTACGAGGGTCTCAAGCTGAATGCTCTCAATGAGTATTCATATGTTCTCACAGGTAGGATGACATCTTTCTTATTTTTTCTTGCTTCGGTTTCCTGAATTCCTACACGCATTACATTATGTATTTCTACTTTGGGGATCTTATCGAGGCGTTATTATTACAACAATGGCTTTCGAACACTTGAATTGGGATGATTTTTCAGAACTTTTGTTCAATGGGCGACGTGATCATCTTGTCTAGCTTCTTTTAGGATACTGTGGAAATGCAACCTTCCTGACCAAGATTGCTGACATTATCAAGGATCTCAAAAGCAAAGATCCAGAATTGTTCTACTGTATGTTCTGTTTTAGCATTAAGTTTACCCAGTATCATCAAGAATTTCCTGTACTTTGATTCAGTTTGTGATCCTGTGATGGGGGACAATGGACAGTATGTGGGTTTCTTTAGTTTACCATTCAACTTTGTTTTTTTTTTCACTACCTTTTTATCGGATTCTTGAAATCGATGTAGGAACTACTGGCTGATAGATTTATGATGTAGCAATTCGATTTATGATGTAACGATTTTTAGTACGTTCCGAAAGAGCTTTTGCCCATCTACAAAGATGTCATTGTCCCGCTGGCCAATGTACTGACACCGAACGCCTTTGAGCTAGGGTACTGTTCGTAAAACACAAATTATCAAATTCATGTCTTAGCATCTTCTTCTAGAGAACTAGTTGGATTCAAAATAGTCACTGAAAAGGACTGCATCCGTGGTATGAATGTTATCCATGATCTTGGAGTAAAATACGTCGTTGTGACAAGTGGAGTGGAGGAGAGTGAAAAAGCTGACACGCTTGCCTGCTATGCAAGCACAAAAGGTTACCTTAATTATGATCAATGTTTGAATTAATCTCATATGATGGAGTTTGTGGCCGTTCACTTGTTGAGCAGCATTGAAGAATACCCTTAAGCACTGGAATTCTCGTGATCGTTTTAAAAAGCAGAAAAATATTTAGACGCCACCGGGAACGTACGTCGGTTTAGATTCCGTTTCCCACGTTTGCGAGGGCAATTCGTTGGAACTGGTGACGTTTTCACATCACTGCTAGTCGTATGGATGTCAAATTACCAGAATGATGTCTGTGAAGCTGTTGGACATGTGTTAGGATCCATGCAGGGCTTAATACGAAGGACCAGTAAGTATGCACAAGGTCAGTGATGTTAATTTTTCATTGAAAGGTGTTTGAAGGAGGTTCATAATGCAAGTGGAAACGAAAATTGGTAGGCTGGACTTAATACCTAGTTACTTCTTGAGGGTATGCAGATGGCGAGCCTAGAGTAGAGGCAACGACGATCACTGTTGCTTCATTCCTTTACCAACCCCAAAAGAATCATGCTAAGAGTTTGTGGGATACATACCCCGAACTGCACTAACCTATCAAGGAAGCAAATTATCTCCAAAGCCTAACTCTACTTTTTTTTTNNTTTTTTTTTTGCTCTTCCTCTCCTCACGACCGATTTCCAATCACTTCGAATTTCACCAATCGTTGACTCCTTATCGTTTCTCACTTCTTTACTTATCTATCTTTATGGAATAGGCAGTAACCCTCCTACATTCATGGATCTAGATTGTTAAATTGAACTACGCTAAACTGCCTTGTACCAAAAAAAAATCTCCACCCCTCCGACTTATATTTTCAGAACAAGTCGACTCAGGCTCAAGAAAAGCATGCGAGCTGCGACTGATCGAGTCTCGGAAGGATCTTTTGTTACCGGAATCAGTTTTCCACGGTGAACCTCTATAGATGTGAGAAATATTTGACAGTTTGTTAATTTTATACATCAATTCACGTTATTTTGATTGTTTTGTTGTCGATTCCATGCGTCATCATATCTCATGACATTCATTGAATGTGCCAAATTTAGATTCACTTGAGTAATTTACTAAAGGTAGAGTGTGGACAGTGTTTTAGATTATGTTATATGAGTTTGTCCCGTGATTTTGAATGATTCGTTGTTAGAATTTTTTCGAACGAATAAACAAAGACTGATTCCCAGTGAAAGATGACAATAATGCGGCATTTCGAATGAAATACAACAGTGTAAGGTGACTTGAGGCCCACTTTCAGCTTTTGCAGTACACACATCCACCTTTACCTGTTGAGTTCATTCGTGGACTACTCTAAAATCTGTTTTGTGGCCATTACAGTGGACTCGGGGCGATTTCCTCGCCTAGTATACCAGTAACATATGAATAGTACTCTCTTCTGAAGGAGTGCTCCACTGTATACATTGTAACAAACAGCATAGGGAAGAAATCACCCGGTGTGAAGTAATCTTCCAGTATTAAAACTAGTGCGCACTACTGCAGAAACGTTTCTACCGACAAATTCTGCGTTCATTTCAAAATAAACTGATTTTTGAGATGGCTGACAACAAAGCAGAATCACTTTCAATGATCAGAAAGCGATGACATAAAAGCCCTTAAGAAGGCGAGGGTTCGAGTCCAGTCCGAGGCTCAATTGCCCAGAGAAGTAAAAAGTACTAGGTCGAGTTTAATTAACTGTTACCATCAGCCTACTTTGACTATCTCTTTGCACGTTTCATGCACCAAATCGTACGTCTTCTCAGGAACATGCCAAATTCAGATATTACAGTCGCACCAAACATGTGAGCAATTTCATATTGTCCGTTATGCATATATTTCATAGTAAGTATTTTAATTTCTTTGTGAGCAAGTAAATGACAAAGTGAAACGTGGAATGATATGGCAGCATGATGAATGAGTAATCTCTATCATATCCTATGATCAGCACCTACCGCTTGACTAATGTTTGTGTAGCCGTCTCGTCTCAGTAATTCCGCTAGCTCACGCTTTATCTGAAAATAGTAGAGCAATGCAAATTGAATCGACGAAAAAGACATCTTTAAAAAGCGCCCGTTGTAGTTTCTCAGACATTTCAGAGCTATTCCCTGGAAAATGCTTCGCCTGTAACAGATAAAAACAGGAAATAACGACGATGGGAAGAGCGTAATGGTGATGGGGATCCCACTCGAATGTACAGTATGATCGCAAGGCGAGCATAAGTCATAATTCAGAAGGAGCATGACGTAGTACTTCTTCGGACTAAAAAGGACTTTTAGAAACCGCGAGAAGATTTGGGTACCAATCGATTTCACCTCATCGGCTAGTTAGGTATATCCATCAAAGAAAACGAGAGCATGAAATCGTGGCCTCATTTGAGGTTGGCATCAAATCAAAGTACAAGTGTGAGTATGAGCAAGTTCATATAGAACAAGAGTAGCGCAGTTGGTAACGACAGCTGTATGTTGACTGAATCTGCGTAGGTAAGGGATCTTCTCTACTTTTTCCTTTTTTACGCCTGGAATATGAATAATTGTTGTACTAGTAGCTTACCTTTCCCACAACAGGAAATCCATGATACGCTAGCGCTGAGTAGAGCTGCACAACCGATGCCCCAGCTCGAATCTTCTCATACGCATCGGCGCCGCTTGAAACACCGCCGCATCCTACAATGGGTACTCGTCCGTTGGTGAATCTAAAACTTGTAAGGCGTAGAGTTTTTACTTCTCTCGCGATTGATCATCCTCGGAAACTTTGAAAGAAGGTGTAATAGTCAAGACAAATGAGTTACCTGTACATATCTCGAACACATTCAGTGCTCATCTCACGTAGTGGCGTTCCACTGAGACCACCAGATTCATCTTTATTCTTACTCCGTAGAGTATCCGGACGAGCAATAGTTGTGTTCGAAACTATTAAACCATCAACACCATATTTCGAATCCATAACTACCTATAGGAAAAAGATGCTCGCTATTGACTATCACCATGAATCTTGCTAATCAGGGCTATTTACTGTTCAGATCATCGTACCTGAGCGATATCCTTTTTTTCGCATTCTGTGAGATCAGGAGCAATTTTGAGGAGCACTTTTGGGCGTACATTCAATTCCATGACATCAATGGCATGTTTCACATAAGCGAGTAACTGAAATCAATTGATACAAATAGGAAAAAATTTAAAAAAGAAACAAATCTAATATTTTAATCATAACATTCACGAAGAGAACAATGATCACACATAGTCGTTCAGAAAACCTACATTTTGTAAATCAGATTTCTTTTGTATAGATCGTAAACCCGGAGTGTTAGGAGAAGACACATTGATGACCACATAATCACTATATGCAGCAAAATAGTTAACACCAATCTCGTAATCTAATCTGAATCGAATTCAAGTTAGAAGAAAGATCATGGCAATCAATAAAGTTCACTCAACAATGTACCTGGCCTCATCACAGAGCTTGTTCTTGCCTAAATTCACACCGAACATAGCAAGATTATCATTCCAATCGTCTCGAGCAGCTTTCACCCGTTGTTGAACGCGACCCACCCCATCATTGTTGAAACCGTATCGATTGATAAGAGCCTGAAAGATTCAGATAACATCTTCAAATTCGATACTGCACTCACTTTCGCTGATAGTTCCAATTACCTCGTCTTCCAGAAGACGAAATACTCGTGGACGTGGATTACCCTGTTGTGGGATGGGGGTAACGGTACCAATTTCGATCAGACCGAAACCTGACCACTCAGCCAATGGACGAATAGCCTGGCCGTTCTTATCGAAGCCAGCTGCCAACCCGATTGGATTTTTCAGCTGTTTTCCAAGAAACTGAAATCGATCGGTTGATAAAAACTCAACCATTTAGACCTGGTCTGTGATGGCCGGAAAGTGAGCGAAATCTGCACAGCTTGCAGTCACCGAGCAGGATTGGGTTATTATGACATACGTTTGATGTACAAAACCTCACTTCGCAATTCAGCTCTGGATATTCTTTTCGGCTATTGCTAAAACGAGGTAGAAGGCCCCAGGAAATGAACCGAATAGCGCAATCATGTGCAGTTTCGCCATCAATGTGTCTATGAATTAGTGGTATTACCTGGAAATCAGTCATATATTTCCATATAAGGAAATCTGTAAAACTCTACATAAAACATTCTCAGACTGTAGAAAAAGTCTAGTATAAGTTAGGATGTATAACATAGGAATACCACATAAAGAAATGAATCGAACTCACCGCTTTGTTATAAAACGTTTCGGAACTTGCGAGGGATTCCGCGGAGCCATAAGCCAACAAACCTCCGCCAACAATGAAAACACTATACTTGATAAAAGATCCTTTGGGTGATCTTGAAAACATGAACTAGGAACTGCTGGAGGTAGTTGGTTCGGTACCCAGCTGATTCAAGAACACTTCCAACTGAAAGAAAAAGGACTTGAGTGCCCTCTACCTCTTATGTACGTATGCGAAATTGCTGACAAGAAACTTTTCGGGCATTTTTCTTATATGATGAACCAATATAAGGGAATTGGAAACAAAACTATCCGATATTCAGAAAACTAGAGCTGAGCATGCATGAGTTACTGATATAGAAAGCGCGCTTCCGCACCGATGGACAGATAGCTGATAATTCGGTTCACTGCCGAGGCTGTTCAAGCAATTAACAAAATCAGACATAATCTGACCTATTCATGTAGATATCATCCTACGAGCTTAACTGTCATTCAGATCCGAGCTATTCCTGCATGAATCTTCCCGATAGAGATGGAACTATGGTCAGGAGTGCCAAATTGCACTACTTTTCTTCGTAAGGTCCGATCCTGGCGACATCCTCTTTTTCGGGACAGTCACCTGTATTAGACCGGAAACTAAGCGCTCAAAGAAAACCCGCAATTGGCAGGGAATTTGAAAGTGAAACTATTTTCCTCTTTCCTTTTTCAATCAGATTTAACGCTGACGTTTTGGCACAAATTCGCTCAATACTTTAGGAGTACACTGTTTTCAACAACTAACGAACAAATGCAAATGTTGGCAAGTGATTATAAGAAGATGTGGGTGCCTCTTTTTTTTTTTTGAAAAAAAGAGAAAACTTTCGATCTATTGAGAAAAGTCAACTATATCATTAACGAGAACGAAACAATTTAATACAAGGCCGATTTGTGAGAGTATAGAGCTGCCCAGAGGAGAACACATGATAGTCGCTGAAAATGTAAAGAAACTCGACAATTTGTTTGGCAGCTGAGATTACCTCCCTTCTAAGATTCTTTTAATGTCACTTCAAGTCTACTCGAGAGTGATTTCGGCAACTGACTGTAAGCACAACTGACCTGGTCCTGCGTGAATTCTGCAACTTCTCTATCGCCTTCTTGAAAATACAACACAACTCGCACGATTGGTTGCAGATTTTTCAGGGATTCACTGCAATTGCTGCTTCCCTAAAAAATTGTGATTGTGAAAAGTCTGTCCCCGTGATATCACAGTTCTTTCAAACGTAATTACTTCTGATAATAGAAGAAAACTAATAGTTTGCGCAGGGAATCATCGAAACGAATTCACTCTCTTGTATATCTTTTGAAATATGAACTATACCTGGTTGATCAAGCCACAACGTGGTAACAATTGTGGCTTCATCAACCGGGTATAGTTCATATTTCAAAAGATATACAAGAGAGTGTAGAATAAATATAAAGAAGTGTAAGTATAACCACAACTTGCACTAAATCTTAGGTAGGCAACAAGGCAACCACCCGGGAGGTAGGTGCATAACCATAAGCCTTTCGTAGAAGGGAATGTTCGCGTTCTTAAAAGATTACTTTGATTTCTCCATCAAGCCTATCAGCATCGTTCACAATCTTGCAAAGCTACCAAGGTGTTTTACTGTAGAGGTTTAATAGAGGAAATCTCTTCTTATAAATGAAAGTCTGCATATGTTCATGCTATGAGCAAACATTAGCATTCGAATACACTATTATCACATCAAAAAAATGTCAAATCAGTATGAGCTTGCTTTTAGCTCTTACAAGAGACTTTGTGCCACATAGTAAACTGTGAAGAGACATCAGACTTAGTGATCTCGCGAGAGATTAGAACTACCGATCTGACGAAAGATAAATATCATTTCCTAGGAAACTGGACTAGGATCCACTCGAAATTATGGGCCAATTGGTAGAAGAAACCCAATCCCTGTCGATACAGAACCATACATAAGTGTTCTGGAACACAACCAAATTCCAGTGGTTAGACCCATCTAACAACTGGTTGGCACAAGGGTAAATACATCATCAAGTTGTTCATGTACTTAATTTCCTATTCATATTCCCATGAAACGCTCATGCAAGGTAGAAGTCGTTGTAAAATATTCACTTACAAAATAAATATTTCAAGCTCTTCTAACACGAAGATATTCTGAACTTCTTCTGCTGCATTTGCTAACCTTGAAAACCTTCTTTCAAGTAAGTGCCTAGAGAGAGACGATAAGAAACCTTAAGAAACCATAATAGCTTTTATAAATAAGAGATTTAACATAGTTACATCACATTGCAGTTTTTTTTCCCGAAGTTAGCCGTATTTTTGGGGGAAGGCTGCCGCGAAGGTCAGCCGGCTGTCCCATAAATAACGATTGATGTACATGTCGAGGAACTTGCTAATGTGATGAATCTCGTTTTTCGCATTACCACCAACTGGTTACTCAAGAAGGGCATTAATTTAGTTGAAACCGAGGCAAATAAATGGCAATTCTCTTGCTTCATTGAATAGTTTTATAGTACGAAAGTCTCACATAAGATGAAAAAGTTCCATTCATTCAAAGGAATCAAATTATAAGTGTAATAAGCTCTGCAGGATGAAAAAACCTGCACTGTGGCAGTATTTGTTTGCTTAGCACGTTGCTGAGTCGCAACCCTTTTCCAAACGATTCTACAGGTTGGATGGAGAGGTTTTCCGAATCGGAAGAACCTCGTATTTTATAATGACTTTGTCATCATTTCCTGATTTAGCTCATCGATACTTCCTTTTTGTCTTACAATAGGAGGACCCCACCCTTATTAAAAAGATTACTTATTCTTAGCCCCTTTACTATGATCACAAAAAAGGTCCGAATAACGGAATCAGCATGGATGATAACAATGGTTTATTACCCGAACATGACTGGCAATAGTGAGGCTCCGTCAACGAAAGGTCGATCGACCAAAGAACACGTAAGGAAAACACCGATCGTATGACATAATTTCAATATCTGTTTTAGGAAAAAGTCACCTAATCGAAAAAAAGGTCATCAAACCACTAAGTTGCAAGTTACTACTGTATGTTTTATTGACTCAGAACCAAAAACGCTGCACTGCTGGCATACTGGATAATTTTCTAAACTATGCCGAAAAAAAGAGTTGAATCATATGAACCTTGTTCTAGACACTGGGCTTTCATGCGAAAAACATATCTATTAATATGTTTTCGAGAGAAAAAGTGAGTCTGATTGATAATGGGAACCGTGAGATGGAACTTATCATCGATTCTCAGACGAAATCACCTTAAAAACAGTGTGGCAGTCACATGTCAAAAAGTGGAAATACGAGATGATATGAGGTGGTGCACTATAAGTACTGATGTTCGGCAATCTCTATGAAAATTCACGCCCCGTTAACACAAATTGCCAAGATTTATTGTAGGAATGTTCACTTAAAGGTGCTCATTGCAGTAGGGTACACGGAAAGGGTTTTACGACAACATGGTAACGTTCGAAAGCGTATACATGTCAGATTCTTCCTATATTCGCAAAAAAACCAAGACTTCGGGCCATCAGAATGGTGGATGGAAACTAGGCGATTACTGTACATTTAGATCTCTTCATTTTGCTATGGGGGAATAGGAAAAATCCTTAAACGAAAGGAGCTCGCAACGAACTAATCAAATCAAGAAATATGACAAGAAAGCAACAAAAAATGAAATTGAAAGGATGTGTAGGAGATAAGTACCACTTTTACACATTCATTTCGTGGTCGCGTTACACCCAGAGCAGCGAGAAATAAACGGCCGAACCAGGTGTCACTAGTAATTCCCGTTCAAGACAGTTTGAAAAAGATACACTTGGTCTATGACGCTGAAGCAAAGAGGCCAACGCGAGAACTCGAGCCAGGTCGAGTTGACTATCGGATGACTTTGATAATTGATTCGAAAAAACTTTTGATCTAATCGATATAGTAAACTGACCTTGAGAGACCAGTGGAACGTCTTCAGAGTTCGATGTCGAGCGTTATCAGGAGATTCTGGCGACGACATGTGGAGCGTCAACACCCCTCCACGCTGTTATGCTGATTACACTAAAAAGAAGAGAGTAAAGAATTTAATTTTTTAGTAGAAAAAACTATCTGAGAGCAATTGGAAAAATGTTTTTAGACGCAGAAAATGACAAAAACGAGCAATCCACTTGATCTCCTACACAATGTAGCAAGGACGAGCACAGTCCATGACCACATGGTTTTGGTGGTCATCAACGGTCGGCAGATCGATTCCTCGACCTTGGTGGTCGGGTTCTGCAACCTTTCACGATTGATGACTATTGGAATGAAGATGGAGTCAACTTGCATGAGCTCAGCTAAGCCTATACATAACCGACTGTCAACGCTTCAAACCCTAGCTGCAAGCCTCCCAAAGCCCATTCCATGCTACTGCAAATTACAATAATACCAGGCTTCCTGTACTCTTGACCCACCTTTCGCTCGCTAACTCGCTCGACATCTTTACTAGCAAGATGTATTCTTAACCCTTTTGATAATGTATAGGGAGAAAATCGGATCCCTTAAATAAAGGGATTAAAGCAGTTGAAGTTTACCAGCTATTGAGCTATACATAACACATTCTACTTGACCCGGGACCGCAGTAATGAGCATTTCGTGCTTGAAACGATTTGTATTGGCCTGATTTTATCGATACAAGACTTTTCCAATAGTCCTTCTCTCACAAAATGAATATTACAGAAGTGTGACGAGGATAGACTCAAAGGCCAAATTGGACCTAAATCGTGGAAAACGTTAAAGATATTCGGTGTGAGTCCACAGGGACTACTACATATTGAATACCATCGAAAACCAAGAGGAAAACAGCGAATGGATACATACAGCGAGCAGCAGCCTACGGCACGATCCGTTAAGCAGAATTTGAAGACATAAAGACGATACGTCAGTGAAAATTGCGGACTTCAGTAGTGATAGCGATTTGATGATGAGAACAAAAGCCAAAAATTGGTACTTCAAATGAATCGACATTTGGGCAAAATCAGATCATTGAAGATTCTACAGATTTATTAAAAAAAAATACCTTACATTATTATGAAGTGTGCTATGTTGACATCAATATACATATTGGCTGGAAGAACTCTAAGCAAACATCGTAACTGCTATGTGTATACATTGTCTGGTCAGCAGATACTGCATAGCACCATGTAAAGCCAAAAACAAATGCCTATCTTTTCCAAAAATAACCAGTGAAAAGAGACCGAGGAAAACGATAACCCAAAAACAAAAAACCATAATCGACATTGGAAGAGCATGATTTGGCAGTGATAAAGAAGGTACGTTGAGCCGATTAGAAACTAGTCACGTGATAAAAACATTGCCGTGTATGTGTATGTTTAGAGAGGAGAAGTCAACAGTAGTATGCAAATACTAACTAGTCTCTGACTGCGAACATCACCAATAACAACTTTCTACTACATATACAGCTATGATTCGCTCCCTAGACATTAGTTTCACTGCGTAATCGAACAGAATTCCAAAGTAAAAACGTTCCGGGAATACTAGCTGGAAAAAGGAAGAAATCCTTCAATACAGCGAAAAATCACAGCAGCACCGCCTGATCGATGGAACCCCAATAGCCTTTCAAAACATGAATCTACAAATTCAAAAAAAAGATCCTCACAAAAATCACGAGTGGTAGTCATCAGATAAGATTCTCTTGAGCAAAAATATGAGCTTCTGAACCATGTTTAGCTTCGTGCAACTCTCACCCTCATCAGCTTTTGACTCCACAATGTGGTCTCTTGGATACGGCTATTATAGCGATGCGATGGCGCGTTACAGTAGCTGAAATAAGTCAGAGAATTCCAAAATGTAAATTTCTCGAAAAAATAGCACCCAGCGTTCAAACTGTTTCAGAATTTGAGTGATCCTAGTGTGTTCTTCTGGACTTAAAGAAGCGAAGAATGACACGGGTTATACCAATGCTACCGCTTGCGCACAATTTTCAAAAAAAAAAANAAAAAAAAAAATACAATTGCGATTTTGAGTTGCATGAGGATAACGAAAATTGAAGGGTCCCGTTGAGTAACACGTTCTTCACGACCCCACCCGACAAACACAAACCTCTCGTTATTCACATAAGGAGCGAAAATAATTGAGAACGTCTGAATGTTACTCTGCGTCCGATCCACCTATTAAACTACCTAATGCTTAAGGGTTGCTTCTGATTTGCAACCAATATACTTTCCAATGAAGGATGATGATATCACAATCAATGAATCAATGAGTAACTCACAGCGAGGTTCTTGTCCCAACGCCTATATATCAGCATAATAATCCATTCGGTGGCGCCACAGAGCCACATGCACGAGAAGTTGTTCTCCAAGAAAACTTCAGTTCATACATCTGAAACGCAAGTTCGCAATGCTAAGAATGATGAAGGGCTTAAAAATTACGAAAACTGGACCATTTCAGGGGAAAGCATAGCAAATCGCCTTCTTCCAACTCTCAAACTCAATAGCACCCTAACTACATGATAATCAATTTGGGCCGACTTATCTTTCTCCACTATCAAGGAAACCCTAGTATAATCTCGATACGAAATACCACGCTCTTTTGAGGTAGGCGCGCTTGAAATAACATCCAAAGATAATGTCAGGATCAGGTATTGTTTGATGTATCTCATAGACCTATCATGGTTAAACCATGGACCAGGAAAAAGGGAAAACGAGTAGGGAATGACCCCAATAGCGGAAAAAGCGGTTAACAATCCCTTATATGTGAGATTATTTTTCAGACGACATTTTTGTAAATATCTCAATAGCGAACCAACCTGAAGATTAGAGGTATGCACCGTCCCATCCACTACTCGACGCCAACGCTCAGGCAGCTCGTCGATGCCCTCCTCCCAGAAGGACGGGGGCTGGGTCTTGAAGAATCGTAGAGTGCCTTTCTGATCACATCCTTTCATATTTTTTTTCGTCCAGAGAGCGCTGCAGGTGGCTGAGCAGCCAGTAGTCGGAAGGAGCGTGGTCAGGGCTGTAGGGGGCTGGGCGATCATCAGCCATCTGTTCTTCTCCAGCTTGCCTTTGCGATGTGAGGACGGGCGTTTTCAAGGTAGAGGTAAATTTCTGCATACAAGCCTACAGAAGAATAAGTTTCCGGTTCATACGCTACAAGACTACTGTAACAGAGATGTTACTACTATCGAACCAAGGTGTTTCAGAGCTTCTCTTAAGTGTGTGCGCCTAACACATGCGGATATTCTACATCGCTTTTCTAATCAGAATCTCAAAAAGTTTTATGGACGGCTATTCAGACCAGCAAGCCTGGAACCGGAAAACATGAAAACAATCACACGAAAAGTCAAGTTACTGGTTTTGAATAAAGAGAATATCGAACTCGATGAACACCCAATCCCCTATTAGATGAACTTCTATGTTACATGTAAAAGGGTAGGCAAGTATGAACGAACGAGCCACTCTTTACTAACACAAATGACTAAGAGCTAGTTTACTATACAAACCTTGCTTTCGCAGATCCTTCCAATGAATAAACGCGTTCACAATTCACAGGGTCACAATAAGTCCTTGCCTATGCCAAAGATTCGAATTAAATCTTCACTGTTTCCAGTAGTTTTTATGTTATTTGACGAATTTTACAAAGTTTTTCAAGGGATACTATTGCATATGAAATACATTCACAGCGTCTTTGGCACTATATCGACTGCAATGAATTCGCGCTACAAAGCATCCGTACGGCATACTAAATTGCTTCGATTCGAAGGAGAGGAATGAATAAAAGTATCTATGAAACAGATAAAGAGAGGTTGCGCTAAGTTTGTACAAGCGCAATCTTATTCAAATTATGTTCGGAGCCGTCAAGTAACACGTACACGGGATGTCACGGGCAGTACACCTCCTACAGTAAGAAGACGTCACATTAGCAATTATTTAGCGATGCTACTGTTGCGATGAGAATTTTCTACTTATTGAGCTTGCACTCTTGCAATAAGCTACGACAATTGGCAATCCAGAGATTATTGAGTGAAAGATAAAAGGAGCACGTTTGGCGGGTAGAACTAAGTTATAAATCGAGAAAATATCATAAATGATACTCGAAAAAAGATGTGTCCGTAATAACATTTTTTTCTTGCAAACATTGGTTTCTTCTTCTTGAATCTTTCGGCGATGGCATATTCTTTACTTTCAAATTTCGCCAGAGATTTTCGGTCGATTCTGCGGTAGATGGATGAGCAACCACAACCGGTGCTCTCCCTTCATTGCAAATTTCTCAGGGTTTCTTACTAAGTCAGCTTGACCGAATAATTCAACACCATATATGATCATAAAAACTTATCGGCGAAAATGTAGTTGGGAGAGGATGGAGAGAACCCGGCTTTTGCCCTTCCCAGCGGGTAAAAAGTTTGCAATACTGGGAAACGTTGCCCATGAAGTGTGCCCAAAGCGTTTTATTTGACCACTAAATCTTGGTAATCCCGGCTCCCACACTTACCTTTCGTTCCTGTGGTAGGGCGAGGCACTCATTCCCACGTCCGCCTGCGCTCTCTCACCGAGACAGTATTCCATTCGTCATCTCTTCCCCCTTAATAACTTCTGCACCATAAGAACTTCTGCATGAAGCTATCATCACATCCATCCCGTTGTCCCAACCAACACTATTTCCATACAAATTTCACCTGAAATTTCTGAAGAGGCTAGAGCACAGAAACAAGAGGAAACTTATGACAGGCTGCTTAAGTAACTAGCGCGTACAGCGGATCGTGCTCCGCCTCTGGGCATTGCACTGTGAGGACATTAAATTTTATTTTAATATTAAACAACAGACAATAGTTCACCCGTAAATGCTAAGAGACATGATGATTAAATGAAAGACACACGAAAATATTATACAAAGAATGCATATGGATCGGTTTACAGAGGAGGGAGGGCGCTTCGTGAATGGCTGTTTCTTGTGAGCAAGGATTGGTTGTTGAGTTACCTCCTGGATAGTTGACACTGGACGACTCACCGATGTTATCTCCTCTTCTTTCGCTTTTTCGTCGCTATACCCTGTAATGTTTGGATAATAGTAGTAACACAGACATTAATATGTTCTATGACTTTTCTACTACGCACCTTCTGATGTTGTAACCGCAATGGAATCTTTTTGAATAAGACTAGGCTTCGATGTTGGAGGCTAAACATATTGAATGATCATTCTCCACCTAATTTAGCCCCTTCTTTAGAACATTGCAAAATACAACTGAAGGTAAAAGTAACGAGGACGTGGGAAATGCACCGAAATCAATTCCTGCTACAATGCGTTCAGGTTAGTGGACGGAGTAAAAAACGATAACATGATATACGAAAGGGTGATCAAAGAAAAGGTATCATCAAGGGACACGCTAGGCAATACTCTCGCGATGTAATCCGCGTACGCGCTTCTCACGACATACTTTTTCCAGCAACCCTTTGCTATGGGTATGGCATACGCTTTGGGCAGAGGTAGTGTGGTGGCAAGCGGCACACTATCCCACACGCATGGTCACAGTTCGAGTCCTGGATCGATATTCGCCTAGGCTAGCCAAAACATTCGTCCCTCCGGAGCCGGTTGGTTGGTACCAGACTCGTCTGGTACGTCTGGTGTGGGATAAATTGCGCTTCTTTGGTGCAAAAGAAATCATTTGGAGCATGACGACTTGTTGTAGAAGCGTTACGCTGTGCTTGACGTTGTCATACTTGCAGATCCATACATCATTCTCCCAAATAGAATGAAGCTCACAGCTACAGGTAGTCAAACTTCTCTTGTGCTCTCCGGGACTACCATTGAAGGAATATTCCCAACCACCGACTATTGATATTCATCGAATGTACCGTGTTTTTCGAAATCAAAAGCCATAATTCCAGCTCGAATGGTTCCTTCTCTCATTGTGCGCCCTTATCTCAGATGAGTGTTATAAAATTTTCGCCCTATTTGTGGTCTGGGCCAGGCAGAGCAACCGATGCCAGAAAACGCAAGCAAACAAATATACCCGAAGGAGAACTAAGAACCACAAAGAGGTAAAAATCTCAAATCTATCTCATTTAGTTTAAATAAACACAATGATCACTTTTCACTAATGATAAAACTAAATCCTTTTGCTCAGGTAGAGCCTATCATATTAATCAATCTTCTTAACGGAGAGGAACTATAGATAAACCAACCATCCAACCTTGGGCTCACTTCGCCAAGAAAACTTCGCCTTATATATCTTAGATTGATGTCGTCGATGAACTGCATCCCCTTGTTGAGCCGGCTCTGCTGTACCATACAAAACTAATTCCCATCCACGAAAAGTGCCTGAGGTTGGGAAATTTGGGTTATGGTAACGATGTTTTAGATACGAGGAAAAAGCATAAGGTAGACTGAAAATCACCGGAGGCCAATTGGTCAATGGAGACGCTCTCGATCTCAAGAATCCATGTCCCATGGGGGTCCTCACCCCATTGCTGCACCGATAAGAAGGGCCAATTACGGAACCCTCTAGAGCTAGTATCCTGCAATGATGGTTTTTTGCTTCTCGATAGCGAAAAGGAATCAGCAAGGACAGGATTTGCAAGCAAAATCATTTCATCTCTACAGCGAATGCATGTAATTTCCATACTATTAGCTTGCATCATCCAGTTTTCGACAGAAAAGTGACGAACCTTAGGTCTGGGAGGCAGAAGCACCGATCTCGTTCCAGATGGTGAGTGAAGCGTTAACTTCAAAGAACCTCTTTTTTGGAATTGCGCTGAAATCGACACCGAAAAAACTCAAACTAAGTGATGGATTACATGAATAAGGTGCTCACCCGTTGTACGCACATGAACATGTTCGAGGTAGAAAATTTCCGTTCCAGACTCGCAACCGTTCACTTCTAACGTGAAATTCATCCGAAAATCACCTCGTAATTGATGAGAGCTGAAAAAGCCATCGTCTTGGCTTCAAAAGATAGTATTGTGAAGGCGTACCCCTTATATGGATATGTACAGATATGTTGTTCAGGAACGGTCCTCCATATTTTGGCCAACTTCACGAGGGCACCTCCATCCATGAGGCCGTAGCCGAATCTAGGGAAACCTTTTATTAGCAGCGGCTCGCTCCAGCCTCTTTACTACCATTTGACAACTTATAAAGCAGTTAATGTAACATCAAAGTAACATAAATACTACCCACTTGTTGCTGATCATTCTTCCTACACCATTTCGTGACCAGCCGGGATTACCCAGAAGCGGCGTCGGATTGGCTGTTCGAAGAACTATGTGTTGTACATCGCGCCACGTGAGATCGGGGCTTAAACAAACAATAATAACAATACAGAATAGCAGAAATAACATTATGCAGTAAGCAGAACGCCTCTAGATGTGACAATGGAGCAAACCTCCAAACGGCTTTTTCAGAGCGTCAGACTATACTAGACAACTGACGGATTATCGCATCGAAGGCTTAGAGAGAAGCGGCTCTTGCGAAAAGAACGAGCCCTAAGAAGGATATGTACTTCATGGCTGCTATAATCCTACTGTAAGGTGTGCTACCCCCCCCCCCCCCCCCTCCAGTGATTTAGCGTCATCTCCATCATCACCCATCTTGAGCATGATAACTAAAAGTCGTTTTCCTCTAAACTCGCGATGAGATAGAAACATGTAGTCTAACGACATGTCATCGCCAACACCTGCTGAGCCTTAACTCTAACATTATTTTCCCTTCCCTTGCCGTAAAAGATATTTGGAGGCTCGCGTTCTTTAATCACTTTTCCGAAGCGCCATCACACTCTCAGGACGTTCTGCATACGCCCCATTGTTAAGGAATGATTTACTTCGCCTCCAATGCAAGCGCTATCATGGCGGCAGCTAGTGGAGCCGACGCGCTCGTTGCTGTATGCTTCGTAGTGCAGCCTCGTGGGACATCAATGCTTACCTGAACGAAGCAAATCAATTTGATCAAGCAATGAAATATAGTACACAGCGTCCAGAAAGTAACTATACAGTATCATGCTGTGCTATGCAATGATTGAAACCCTTCTAAGGTGAACCAAGTAGGGAGGAAACTAAGAAGACTTGGTTCCAGCGATTAGGCCATTGCACTCGTGTGAGCCATGAACCTCCGGTCACCGCATTATAGCTTGAAGGCTCAGGCCTCGCCAAAGAACCGACTTTACCCCCACCGAGTTACTTCGTGTGGGAACATCACAAGAAAAGGCTTATAGAGGTTATCTGCGCTGCATCATGACGAGACTTCGAAATGTACTCTGCACCTTAAAGGCACAGTTCACGATAAAATACCCTAGGAATACCCAGTGCCCCCATGGATAACAGGAAGAACGCTGTCGAGCCCCAAAACT